TCAAGAAAAAGTAAATAGAAAAGAAAAAGTAAACAGATCAGTAGATAACCAAACTCTGATACCTTGAGAAAACTTGCAACCTAGCACTGGAGAGTGACTAGGGTTTGAGAAGGGAAGAGAGCAGAAGAAGGAATTGCCAGTGTTGTGGGAAGTTGACAATATGTCTTTTCCTCCGTGGGTTACTCTGTATATGTACCAAACCCTAGCTATGTCACTATACATTAATGATAAACTACTAATCGTCAATTAAACTAACAAGTAGCAGACTACTAAGTGGCAGACTATATCACTAACTCAACTAACTAGTTTCAGAAGTAATCAGTCGCAGTTCCATCTAGTGGAGTCGTGTACCACTTGAATGTACGTTACACGAGTTCGATGCATGTAGTTGCTTGAATTACCTGAGTGAAAGGAAGTCATATGACTTGTCCTTCTTCTGTCAGCTCCATCCATTGTACCTTCTGAGAACTTGTAGAGCAACTCCATCTTCATTCCTTCACACACCGACGACGCCCTTTGAACAAAGACGAATTGTAAAAAAAAGTAGGTACAAAGGAAACAAAAGGACAACAACCTGTAATTCCTCAACTTGTTCATCAAGTTGTGGCACTAAATTCCAGCGAGGCTAAATTGCAAGCATGGTCACTGGAATTACTAAAAAATTTCACCTTTGCTACTAAAATTAGTTTATTTCATTCATGGTCATTAAAATTAGTTCAAAAGTTCAAATTTGGTCACTCTCCGTTAACTTTTGCTGATGTGGCAGTCAACTCTAATAGTTGATCGTTAAATATGTGACGTGACAATTACAAAAATAATAAATAATAAAATTTATTCCCTTAAAATTTCCTCCTGGTTATCATAATATAATTTAACAAATTCATAAAACAACATATAAGTATTAAATGACCAAAAAAACACACGAGCGGGAGAGGATTCCCGCTCGACTACTCCGTCGCCACTGGCGCTAAGGATTCCCTGACTTCATTTTCGTCATGACAACCAGCAATTCGGGTGCCCCGACTCCCATCTCCTGCTCCTCCGAACCAGATAGCACTTCCCAGTCCCACTGCCAAGTCACGCCACAACCATCGTAATTACCATCAGCGCCGGCCATCACCACCGAATCCAGTGGACACCTCCTACTCCAAAATCGCCGAAATCATCTAAATATGTTCCCTGCTCCGATAAGATCATCACTCAGGAGTCCTTGTTGATGCGAGCGAATTGAATCGCCCAGTTCATGGCTGAAACAGATTTTTAATTGAATCTTCTTCAAAATCTGTTCTCTGCCCCTTACATTTGTTATTGTGTTTCTACGAGCACAGTAGTGGGCGGCGAGGGGGAAACGTCAGTACTCGTACGAGGTGGCGTCGAGCATGTCCAGGTGGCGGTGGAGGAGGTCGAAGAGGAGGAGAAGGTGGCGGTAGGGGTGGGCATTGGGTGGGTCGGGTGAATTTTCACCATAAAATGCACCCACCCGCGCTTAAACGGATTGATAAGTTTTAACCCACCACCCACCCACATTTAGTCTCGGGTTGGGTCGGGCGGATGGTGGATGATGCGGGTGGGTTTGTGGGTTCACCCACATCACAATATATATAATATAGAGGAGTCAACTTGACATGATAATAGGTGAAGAGAATCTTCGAGGGAAACAAGAAGTTGAAATAGGGCGAAAAATGTCGAATTAGTTCTTAAATTGGATAGAAATTCAATTATGAAAGAGTTTTCTATAGATTGAGACGATTATTAGGTGCAAGGAACTAAGGAAAATAATTCCACAAAGGAAAGAGCGGTGATCTAGGCACAAGAATTAGAGGAAAAAGAAAAGGGAAGAAGAGGGGATCTCTATTTGGAAGGTTGGCTTTGAGGTTCAAACTCCAGGAGCAGTCCGAGTTTATATCTAACGTCTCCACTCTCCTCTCTCTAGCGCCAACGGCTTTGATCTTTTTGCTGTTGGGTTGAGCGGGTCACCCGCACACTCACCCACAACCCACCCACCACCCGGCGGATGACTCCCAGCGCAACCCGTCACCCACCCACAGACCCACCCATTTAACAAAATTCGGGTCAAATGCGGGTGGGTCGGCCCAAACCCGCGGATGATCCGCCCGCATGCCCAGCCCTAGGTGGCGGTGTAAACAATGAATGTATTTTACATTTCTTTCATAATATGAAAACTCGTCCTTATTATTTGTCAAATAAACTAATTTTAGTGACAGAGACGGAAGTAAAATTTGTTAATAATTCAAATGAAAAAACTTACAATTTACCCATTCCAGCGGTTATAAATGTGAAAATAAACTATATGCAAATACACAAGAAAAGCTAAATCCAGAAAGAAATAGATATGATCTTCAGGTGAAATCCCCGCCGTCCGTCTGTTGCCGTTTAGATTTTTTTCCCCGCTACCCCCACAGATCGCACTAGAAAATGCCAAATTTGTATGTTCCTGCCAAACCCACAGCTCCCTCCGTCCCTCTAACTTCCTGGTCTATTCAAAATCGCAGAGCCAGGAGGAATCGCATCTTGTCAGACACACAGCGACAGCGGCCAGAAAAGCAAAAATGGCGCAGCAGCCTCAGCCCGACCCAGAACCCTTGCTTTCTCTTTCGGCACAACTCCTCGGCTTCCGCGATTTCTCCGGCGCCCGGAAATACGCTCTTTTGGCCCAAAACGCCGACCCTAGCCGGACAGAGCCACCTCAAATCATCGCCATTGTCGACATTCTCCTCGCCGCCCAGAACCGCCTACCCACCACCGGCCTACCCGATTGGGCCTCCGTACTCCAGCTCGACGACTCAATGGCCGGCGACCGAGCATGCATGAGAAGCCAGTTCACCAAGCTCTTGGCCCTCGTTCACCCTTCCAAGAACAGCTTCCCCTTCTGCCAAGAAGCCTTCGATCACGTCTTCACCGCTTGGTCGGCCATGGCGGCGGAGGACAAAGGGAAATCTCGAGAGGAACCCAGAGCGAATCCGGGCGAAGAAGAAGAAAAAGGAGAGGGTGGGAAATCGAAGGGGGATTCGTGCACATTTTGGACGGTTTGCCCTTACTGCTTTTATGCGTACGAGTATGAGAGCGCGTATGAGGATTGCTGCCTCAGGTGTCAGAATTGCCGGAAAGGGTTTCATGGGTTAGCGGTTGGGTCGCCTCCGCCGGTGGCTGAAGGAAACCGGGAGGAGTATTATTGTGGGTATGGGTGTTTTCCTCTTAAGTACTATTTGCGTGAGCAGAGCGGCGGAGGCGAAGGTAGAGGAGGCAATGGCGGTGGTGGCAGTAAAGGTAGAGTGAAGGGGTTTCCGGCGGAGGAGAATGTGATGGAAATTTCTGATGATAGTTCGTCGGAGGAGAATGGCGGTGAGGAGAAAGAGAGCGAGAGGAAGAAACATTGTGGAAGTGAAGGAGGAGGAGGGGCTTCTGCAGATAATGGGCAGGGTAGCAGTGACACGGCGGTGAGAAATGGAAGAAAGAAGGGAACTTATCGGAAGTCCATTCTAAAAAGACCGAGGAAGATGATGGGAACAGGGCAGGGCAGCAAGTTGAGGGTGGAAACTCAGGATTCAGATGCTAAATTAGGAAACACTGCTGCCACAACTGTTGAAGGAATGATCTTTGGAGAAAGTGTGGGGGCGAATGAGACTGATAATGGAGGTTATAGTGATGGTGATTTGGAGTTCTTCTTGGGGGAGGATGAGGTGTATGTTTCTATGAAGAATATGGGTTGATCGTGGGCGAAATGAGGGGAAAGGAAATTCTGTGGCGGCATAGGCTTGTTCATATTTTGGGTAGATAAGGTTTTGAGCTGACTGTGGTAGGATGAAAAGCGGTCAGCCATTGGCTGGAATTTTGGGGTTTTGTTTCCCTGAGCATGGCAAGAAAATAGTTTGTTCATGTTCATCTTTTGATCTCAGTTCTCACTTGTTAACCAGGGTAGGAAAACAAAGAAGTAGTGTACTTTGCAAATGTCCATGTTAATCTTTCAACTTTCGCAGTTTAGTACCCTTTGGCTTTATGAAGCCATTGGATGATTGTTGTTTCAGGTTTCGGATTTTCAACAGTCCATAGTTGTTCAGTTTCTGATCTCAAACAATCTGTGGCGTGGTCTAGTAACATTGGAATGAAGCTGTCCATCTCACACTATTTCTTCTACTATAACTGTCTGTGATATCTTTTTGTAAGGCAAAATCATTGAATGTTCAATGATTCACTGCAATGGGTTGTCATTTAGAATAGCATAACCTATATGTTCTAACATGTCGAGATGATCAAGGTTTTTCTTCATCTGCATAAATGACGCAACAGCTGAAGCAGAGGGTTTCCACTGGAAATAACTTGTGGAGATGAATCACACTTTTGAATTTCTTTGTAGCTGCTAATGGCATTCATATCCTTTGGGATATTTATTCCCTAAATTAACTTCAGCTAATATAGGTCTTAAGAGGTATCAAAATCCGTTTGTTTGTAACCTTTTTGTCATGTTGGAAATCCAGCCTCTGCTGTTCATCTTGGATTGTGAAAGTCGAGAGCTTCAATTGGAGGGGTATTGAATAGTGAAGATAAATGACAATGCAGGATGCTGAAAAGAAAGGCATTTTTTCGTGCATAGCATTAAGTTCTCCAGATCACATGATCAAGGGAATCAAGTGCTTTAAATTTTTTGATCTTGGGTATTGATAGTACATTCATTGGTTTGCTTGCATATATTTGTGAATCCCATCTCATAAATTTCCTTTCAGGAGACAGTGACTAAATAACATTGCAAAGCTTCCTACAACAAGCAAAGCTGTGATCTGCAACACTCATCCTGCAATAGAATCTGTTACCCTTTTGGAGCAACTTGATGCCCAAGCTTGACTTGGCATTCTTGAAATGGTTTCTCTACGGCAGGTAGCTTAGTCTTTGCCTAATTGCATGCAGACAATTTCACTTTGTCCTGTTTTCTATTTCCCCTATAACGTCGTTGATTCACGTTCTCGTTTTCTCCACAGATACAAGAGGCACATCGCATAAAAAGTTTCTATAACTCAAGAGCACAACCAAACCCAATCGACTATCGTTCCCTTGATGCTTACAGACAGCATTCGTTGAGGAGAAGAGTATCCAAAGAAGACACCAAAGAGAAGCACAAAGTCTCTGAGAGGGATCGAAGGTCTCGAATGAACAGCATGTACTCAGACCTGCGCACAATCCTCCCTAATATCATCAAAGTAATAATTACTTTCTCCTAACTCTGTCTCTATTCCTAGTTCAAACTTCAACCAATCTCAAGCTGACCTATGTTCACACCAGAAGAACAAAGCATCAGTGCTTGAAGAAACCATCAGGCAACTGAAGCAGCTGAAGTCGACAGCATTTGAACTGAATGCAATATGTGGTGGTGGGTCGGACTGCTTGTATCCTGGTGGTGATGATGACGACAGTGTTGTGAGTATTGAAGACAAGGAAGGAAAGGGAGAACAGCAGCAGCAGCAGGTTGTGAAGGTGATGCTGAGCTGTGAAGACAGGAGGAAGCTAATGGAGGATGTTGGGAAGGCGGTGAGGACAGTGAAGGCTAAGGTGTTGAGGGCAGAGATGGTGATAATGGGTGGGAGGATGAAGTGTGTGTTGTGGGTTGAAGAGATGGAAGGGTATAAAGGCAAGTGCATGCTAGAGATGGCTCTCAATGCTGCTGCAAGAGGGCATGTACAGTAGAGAAATCGTGCATGTTGTTTGTTGTGTAGTTCTTACGGGACTATGAAATTGCAAAATTGCAAGGACATCACTGGCTTTACTGTTAGGTAGTGGCACATACACAAACAGTTTGAACCAATTTCAAATTTTTGCAAGTGAAAGATAATGATAGATGGTTTCATCGTCCATCTTTTGTTTCTATGTCTGGGTTTCCGGCAGTTGATGGCAACATAGAAAGACAAGAGAGAAATGGTACCAAATGACCAAAGCCACCATCAGGCATTCAGTATGTTGGTACATATGCCTTAGTGGTGTCCAGCAGTCACCATTTCTGCAGTTTAGTTTAATGAGTCAATTATTCTGCTTTCTCTCCATCTGTTATGAGAATTCATGTTTCATCTCATTATACTTTTGAAGGTGACGCATAAAGTGTTACAAAGATGCCTGGTGTCTCAACAGATGTGCTCCATTGTCTCAAGTTTGCAAAGTTAATGTGCTTACATGAATACTTTCTGCCTCAATGTTGTTCATATCCTCTGACCATTCAATGCTTTCCTTCTGGCAGGTGCGAGTGGTTTCTCCAGATGAAGACTTTTCCCCAAATTCTATCTCCTTCAATGCGTCTTCTACGCCTTGTACCACGGGGTCCTGAGTTAGTATCTTCCTAAGAACAATGTCCGCTCTAATTCCGCTTACATGTTCAAGATTAATTTATGAAGAAAAATACCAGATGTTGAAATTCATGTTTTACCAGAATCCTCATCATAAAGGATCTGGAGCTGCAGGACCAACTCCTGCATCTCTTCTCTACATCTTGATTGCATGAATGCATTGTCGAAAGCCTGTGATTGTATTTAATTTGCTCTTGGAACTTCAACTGAGAACCTGTTGCCTTGGATCTCAGTTGGCATCATTTCTGGCCATTTTGTCTGGATGACATCTTTAGGTCTTGGCTTTCCTCATTAATTAATTCTACCTCATCTTCCTGTTTTAATCATTAGTTACACTCTGTTTGGGAAGAGGGGTAAATGAGAGGAGGGTGCAAATGTGAGGGGTAAATACAGTTTCCAACACATTTGCACCTGTTTGGTTAATTTGGAACAGTAGGGGGGTGCAAAACGGGAGTGCAAATTTACTGTTTCGGCTTACCCCCCAAATTGGGGTGCAAGGGAAGGAAGGAAGAGAGGGGGAGGGGGGAATTATGGAATTTTGTTTTTCTAATTGTGTTATATATAATTATATAATAATTAATATTATCAATTTCTTTTTTTTTATAAATATCATTAATGTAAACATTATTCGGGGTTGACCATTTGACTCTAGAAACAAGTTTATTCGTCAAGTCAAATCTAAATCTCTTGGTTGAATCGAATTTGCATTGAAAATTAGAGATACGAGGTGTTTGTGGAAAATATAGAGAGAAATTGTTTGGTTAACTCAGTTTATTTGACTAAATAGTTAAAACTTACAAATTCGAACGTGTTTGACTAAGTTTGACAATTTAAGATTAAACTAGACACGAAAACCCTATATAGGATGACCAGTTACAAGTTGAGCTTCGAGTTTTGAGATCGCTCGATCAATGATTATACAATTGTCATAATTAATTATTATTTGAGCATTATTATATAATAACTATTTTTAGTAAAGTATATTTATTATTATATAATAATATTTATTTTATTATTTTATGATAATATTTTAAAATTTTAAAATCTATTTTGTAATCTTAAAATCTATTTTTAAAATATATTTTAAAATAATATAATTACTTACTTTTCACTCTATTTGCACCCCCCCTACTTTTTCATCCAAACAACAATTTACCCCTCCACTTACACCCCCCAGCAATTTGCACCCCCCAGCAATTTACCCCTCAACTTGCACCCTCCTGCAATTTGCACCCCCCTTGTTGCCAAACAGAGCGTTAGTGTTCATGGATAAGGGGGAAACATGGTGGCAATCCCAAGTAGATAAAGCTGAAACCATCTTGAATCCTCTATTCCCATCCTCTTATGATATTTCTCACATTTTCATAGCTTTCTGTAGAGTCTTAGAGGACAGTAGGTATTTTGGAATCCCATTATTATCGATATTGTTTTGGGTAACTATGAAGTGGCAACTTTACATGAAATTAAACATTTCTATTTGAATATATTCTCCTCCCTAGGATAACTCTCGATTTTCTAATCTCGGTTTCCTTGCTGATACATTGTTCGCTTGTTTGCTTCCTCAGAGTCAGAATTAGGGCTGTCAATTTAGTTTGGTTTGGTTAACAAAATCATTAAGAATGAAAAACCAAAAATCAAATTCCCAAAAACCAAAACCAAAACCATTAAGGCTCTTATTGGTTTTCGGTTTGCCAAAAACCAATAAGAGCTTTAATGGTTTTGGTTTTGGTTTGGATAACCAAAAATCCAACATGTACTCATACACTCATATTTATTCCCATTTCCCGCCTTTTTATTGAATAAACGTCATAATAATGGTAAATTGCTATTACAAATTATTGGTTGGCAGGCGTGTCAAAAGAAAAAAAAATTGTTGACAAATAATTTTATTCTTATTGGTTTCTTAATGGTTTCTATTGGTTTTTTGGTTTTAACCAAACCAAAATCATTAAGTTGCTTATTGGTTTAAATCCGAAAAACTGAAACCATTAACTTTCTAATTGGTTTGGTTTTGGTTAAAACCAAAATCAAATGGACAGCCCTAGTCAGAATGGTTTCTTTTGGGACAGAATTTTGCCAAATGATATTGGTCAATGGTCATTGAAACCTTCTCAACTTGTTAAGGCAGATAATATTTCAGAAGTGGCAAATCTGCTGCAATGCGTTGATCAAGTTGCAGGGTGACGAATAAAAAAAAGGTAGAAGCTCTTAGCTTGCTGCAATGCGTTGATCATGTTTACTAGCATCAGTGTTCAAGAAGACGCGATTAATCTTTCGCCTAGGCGCGATTAATAGCTGAGCAGGAGGAAATCGTCCCGTCTAGCCCTGGGCGATTGATCTAGGCGTGATAAATGATTAATCTCCGTGGAAAACGCATAATCGGCGCCTAGGCGCTCGGAGGCGCTTTTTCAATGTGGTGGGTGACGCCCAAAACAACTAATAAAAGGAGAAAGTGTAGCCTTTTTGTGAAAATCACAAACCCTATTCTATTTCCCATTTCCATTCGACCAACCGCTCCCCCTCATCATTCGACAGGCGAGATTCGTCCTAATGGTTGGGGACTTGGGATGTTTGGGATTGTGGAAAAGGGTTGTATGTCTATATGAATGGATGAATAATGATATGTCGACTTGAATTTTTGTGGAATATGACTTATCTATCATATTTTTTTTAACGTTTAATCTCGCTCACACAACGACTAATCGGCTTGAGCGCTAGGTGGTGCCTTTTCGCCTAAATAGTGGCATAGCGCCTAGCGTCTTCTTTAACATTGACTAGCCTTCTGAATGCGATCAGTGATTATGCTGAAGGCTTTTCCAAGTCAATATTCAAGACGGAGTTATATGTCAGAATGGGCTTCGCTCCTCAACAGCCCATTTCTGATGAAGTAAAGCCCAAACACAGCCATGGCTTTCCCCCTTAACAAATTGGCAGCGAGTCAATTCATTGGACAAGCCAACGACGGGCAGCAAATGTATCTCACAACGCCGAAACCGAGCCGCGCCCACCACCTCCCTTTCCACCGTTGCTGCGGTCTGACCCGCCACCGCTCTCTCCTCCTTCCCTCTGCCTCCGTCGTCGCCATTTCCGCTTGGCGAGCCATGGCCACCACAAGTAGCGGTGGCGGAAATTCTGCCGGCGCGTTCACGACGATAAAAGAGAAAGTAATCTTCGAAAAGGAAATCAAAAAGAGCAAATTCATCGCCATTGCTGGCCCGATCTCCAACGAACAGTCCGCCTTCGCTTTCCTCAATCAGGTTTACAAACTCGTCGTCGTTTGTTTTCTGTTCCGTTCTGTTTGTGGCTTAATTCGGTATTTCCCTCTCTGCTTCTTGTTGATGGTTCAATTCTTATGTGGAAGGTCAGAGATCCTCGTGCCACGCACAATTGCTGGGCCTATAAGGTGGGAGATCAGTTCCGGAGCAATGACGATGGCGAACCGTCGGGAACTGCTGGGAAGCCAATCCAATCTGCGATTGAATCTTCTGGGATTGATAGAGTAATGGTGGTTGTAATCAGGTGATAACAAAGGAAATGCTGATGAATTTTTATTTGATATAAATTGATTTGGGTAAAGATATGAAATTGGGGATTTCCATTGTGCAGGCATTTTGGAGGGATTAAGTTGGGGACTGGAGGATTAGTCCGGGCTTATGGTGGAGTAGCTGCCGAATGCTTGAGGAATGCCCCAACCCAGCTCTTGAAATCCAAGGTATCATTGCTTTGGCTGTTCGTTTCATCGTTCTCCCTGAATCTTCACAGAATCGTCAGATTTAGTTTCACGGGAGGTGTTCATTCAAAATGTTGTTGTAGGTTTCACTTGGAGTGGAAGTTCCGTTCGAGCTCTTGGGGATTCTTAATCATCAGGTTTAAACCTGCTGCATTACATTGTCGTTATTGTAGTTGCTCTACTCGGTTTCAGCATTCTAAAGTTCTTACATCAGCCAGCTGAATCTCCAAAAAGTTTGCATCTTTTTAACATTTAATCTGGCGAATCTCTGTATGTTTGCTCACACTCTTTCTCCATATATTTTGTGCCTGTACAGTTACAGTCCTTTCAAGTTGCAGACATCAGACAAGATTACGAAACGGGTAAAGATGGCATCGCAATGGTTTCCTTCAAGGTTGATTTTGATCAGGCCGCGGAATTGGAGGAGGCAATCAAAACGAATTGCAGCTGGGACCTTGTATTTTATAGGTGATTTACTACCCTGTCCTGAGTAAGGAGCTTGTACCGTTGTTACAATCTCGATCTGCTTTCACATTGGCCAGAACTGCAATTATGTAAACTGTACATAGAAACTAGCCTTCGGTCGACTCGTCTTACTCTTACCTTCTGCTTCTGTTCTGGGGGAATCATCGTTCTGGGCTCCGTTATTTTTTGGTCTCAGCATGGCTTGTTATATTGCTTTGTTT